CCCCCATTAAGCCCCCCCCCCCCCCCCAATCCCGCTGATTAGAGACTGTAGATCCTGGCTAATTTACTCATGTGTATCACTGTCCTGCATCTCATCCATCTCCCTGAACAGCCCTAACAGCAGGCCAGGCCATTAAGCAGCTGGCTAGCTCAGGAGATCAGGGCTGGGGGGTGGGGTCCTCTGTGAATTTGGCTCCCCAGTTGAGGCTCTGTCCGCTTGCCTGCACAACCTCTCTCACGTTCATCAAAAACGAGTAAGACGGATTGGAGCTGGAACAGTGGGAATCTGTAATAAATCATGGCTAAATGAGACGAATCCTCCAGCGTGTTCAGCTGCAGGTCGCGGGGAGCTCCCTGGAGGCCTGCCGTTTGGATCCGGATGTTTAACTTTTGGGAAAGTTCTGGGGAGGTCTGTGTGGACCATGTGACCTTCTGGCGTCGTGCATGGGCCAGACCTCGAGGACCGGATTCCCAGAACGGGCGGATGTTGTGGCAGCAACATGTCTGCACTGTTTTACTGGTTTCTTTCTCTTCCTCCTCAGGCCGTATTTTGAACTGAAGGCAAAATATTACCTCCAGCTGGAGGTGAGTATGCTCCTATGATGCTATTTGGCAAATGTGTCTCCCGTGTAGGACTTTATTGGCAGTTCTGTAGCCTTTAAGTAAAGGTGATGTAAAGCACCTATTTAAAGCTCTGTTTGCAGATAATCATCTTATTACTGTTCATTTTGAGGTTATACCTTCCCAGTCTCTCTCTCTCTGTCAGTGGAATTGACCAGTTGCGTTCTCTGACCATCTCTCCAGCATCTTAAGAAGAACGTGGATGAGCTGCAGGCCCATCTCACGGGGGCCAAGGGGGCGTACAAGACGGCGCTGCGCAACCTGGAGACCATCTCCGACGAGATCCACGAGCGGCGGCATGCGGCCGCCATGGGCCCCCGGGGGCGGGGCGTGGGTGCCGAGGGCGATGGCAGCAGCCCGGACGACGACGATGGCGGTGGTGGCACTAACCTCAAGGTGGACTCAGACAGCATCTCCGGTGAGCAGTTAGACTACGCCTAGTGCGGCCTTCACAAGGGTCTCTACCATGTAGGAACTGAGACACATTTCAAAGTACTTGTGTAAAGTACTTGCACAATGAGAAATTAGCCTTCAGAACCCAAAGCAAAGGCTTTTGGGTAATATATCACTATCAAGACCACTACTAGTGTTTATAAATACACAAATTATGTGCATAGTGGTTATCTACAGCTTTTTTCAGTCAAAGTACTGGCCGTTCTTGGGTAATATTTGAGTTGGAATACAGCTCAGCTTTAGTTTGGAGTATGTAGAGGACTGAACACCGCGTCTGGCTGAGCACGAGCTCAGCAGAGGGTTAATTAGGTTAAATGAGTAGGATGTAATCCGGATCTTGCAAACTAAACAGTTTTTAGGTACTTCAGGATACTGCTAAGGGTGTGAATATGAGGACTACATAGAAATCTGGGGCATTGACTGAATATTAAATGTCTTTGTTTATTGTAAATTCTTCTCTGTAAGACCAGCCCTTTGCACTGAAGCGGCACTGAATTTAAACCAGTTAGAGTAGTTTTTAAATAAGCTGCTATAAATACGCTGGACTCGGGTCCCGTAGCGGGGGAATCATGGGTAAGAGGACACATCCCCCTCCCCGCAGTGGCTTCGGAGTCGTTCGAAGATGAGAACGGCAGCAGCGCCATGTCAGAGGACTCGGAGACGCGCTCCACCTGCAGCCTGAGCTCGGGGCCCCTCGGCTCACTGGACCTGCCCTGCTCTTTCCTGCCCTCCTCGCCTTCCTCATCGTCGCCATCCCCGTCCCCTTCTGCCTCCTCCTCCTCTTCCTCCCGCCCCTGCAGTCTGGACCTTCCCAGCCCCGTGTCACTTTCAGACTTTGGGCTCATCTCGCCGATCTTGGGCCCGCGGAGCGAGTGCAGTGGGGCATCATCCCCGGAGTGTGACCTGGAGCGAGGTGCGTCTCCCGGTGTGTGTGTATGTGTGTGTCCCTGTTTCTGTGTGTCTGTGTATGTATCTGTCTTGTCTGTAAAATCCTCCCTCGACCTGCTCCTCACGTTGAGGGCCTTGTCTGCCCACGTACCCCACCCTAGGCAGACTATGTACAGTAGATCTGTTGTGCTGCCGTGTTGCTGTTTCGAGTGAAACGTGGCAGCACCTTGTGGTGCCCCGGCTGTTCACACCTGCACGCTCACCTGCAGGAGTCTGTTCATTTTCTTTGCCGTGGTGAAGAGTAGAGATGCATGTAGGCGTCATTCCCAGAATGCAGTGTGCCACTGCATCCCTCCACTCCCAATTACAACTGTGTCTGTATGTGTGTGTGTGTCTGTGCGTGTCCAGGTGACCGTGCAGAGGGAGCCGAGGAAGAGCTGGAAAACGTCCTCAACAACAACCCCAACGGTGGTGGTGGGGGGGGGAAGAGGGCCGGCGGCCTGGAGAGCCACCTCAGCCAGCTGACGCTGCAGCGTGCCAAGGCCATTGACCGCGACCGCTGTAGCCTGGCACAGCTGCCCGCGCCCGCTGTCCTGCTGCTCAACGGTGTCTGAGGAACCCACCCCCCTCAAAAAAAAAATAAAAACATTGTTCGTGCCAAGAAGCATCTTCACTAACCACTCCAGTCCTCTCCACTCAAAACCGACCAAAGTGGTCAAATAGTCAAACACATTACTGACGTTTTGTTTTCTTTGTTTGGGCAGGACATCCTTGTGCCAACGACGTTTTTTTTGTCCGAACACGGTGTGTCGGCATAAAAACGCTCAAACATAGACTGTTGCCGGTGAGACTCAGTCGCTTCCTTTGTCTCCTGCCCTCCATCTTCTCCCCCATCCTTCCTCCTCCTCATGCCCTCCCCGCTGTCGGCTCTGCTCCGCCCACAGCTCCTGCACATGTGACTGGGCTGCCAGGGGCTGGCTGCACTTCAGAGGGGCCGCCAGCTTAGCTCTGTCGCCGCCGTGGCCGTTTCCACGCGCCTGCATGCCACCTTACCGCCCTTCTTGGCTCGGAGTCACTGAAACCCAGTGCCGCTAGCTAGCATGTGCCACACAACAGAGGGGCCGGGGGTGGCGCTGGCCCCCTCCCAGTATTTTTCCTGGTTTGAGAGAAATCGCACCTCCCCCAGCCACCTTCAGCACCAGGACAGGTTGAATTAATGAGCTTCCAGACACTCGGAGACGGCACACCAGTCCTCTCATCCATCTTCGTGCCCCAGCATCTCTCAGGATCTGTAAAAAAAAAAAAGCGACCCTCCATTTTGTCATAAAAAAATAAATAAATTAAAAAAAGGTAACCTTAAAGCAATAGTCAAGTACATTGTTCCTGTTTCCTGTAGATAGCGGGTAGATGCTGTCGGGGATTCACGGCGATTTTTCTAGAACCGTCTAATTGTTGCAGGAGTGGCTGTAGACACGGCCGATATGACTGGAGTGGAGTCTGAATGACTGACCAATGAGGAATCAGTAACCCGGATAACGGGTTGTTGAGATGAGACCCGGTAGTGACGTAAAGCGTGCCGTTCGCTTGCGTGTAGCTCTAGCTGCCGTCCACCTGACTGGACCTTCCTGTCGCCTGTCCGTTTAGGTGCCCATCTGCGTGATGCCTGTGCTCTCGTCGTGCCCTCTGCTCTTTGCGTCTTTCTGTATAACGTTTGTGTATTTCTATTGCTGTTCCTCTGGTGTTTATGCAAGAGAAAATGAGTATTTTTCCAGTGTCTTGTTGCGGTATCTCACAGGTCTTTGGCCACATCTTGTGTACCCGTTTTCAGTGTAATAAAACTATTATTCACTGCAGTGGATGTTTCGTGTTTGTTTTCGGTGCCCATGGCGTGAACGGAGATATACCCACAGGGCTGTTTTTCAGGAGCACAGCTCGCTGCAGGCTTTTCAAATCCACCTCTTAACTGGAACATCCCAATTTTGGGAACATTGCATGGTGCAGGGTTGAGGTACAGTACAGATGTTTATCTGAATTTTTACATTTCTGAGGATGGACGGGAGCAAAAAACAATGACTGAAACATCAAATTTCAGTTTAAAGGATACTGGCAAAACCAAAAATGCCAATATACACAAACCTCACAGGGATGAGAGAGGAATGACAACAAATGATCCATGAAGAATTGTAGTCCTGTTACCCTCGCCCTTCTTCCCCCCCCCCACCCTCCCTGAAATTCAAGACTTTACCCTGAAAGTTTTATTCAGTTTCTATGTGGAGAAAATGGATGGATCTTTGTATTCTGCTTACATAAATCCAGAAAACAATCAAGTTCACTTCCCTTTGCTTGTTTATTCACTCATAGTGCAAAGATTCTTGACACTGAAGCTGCAAATCAGTGATGCTAAGGAACGATGGCCCAGCTACCTCCGAAGTCAGTCCTGAGCAGCCGGCGCAGTGTCACAGAGGCAAATGAGCTGTAAACTACAAACTTTGACACCAAATCAGCATGAATATGAGACAATCAAAATCACGCACATTCAAACTGTTTCGCTCCAGCAGTAGAAGAATTTGGGGGGGGGGGGGAGGTGTTTAAATGGGCAACTGCTGATTGGTGGGTCAGAGATTGCATAGATCCTGACGTCAGGATCTACGAGCGGCTGACCAGGGCGCTGCCTTCTACCGTAATTATGCGTAGTTATGCGAGTCATTGAGGACACTGCAGGTCAAAGGCACGCACACACCTGACCAGCGCTCCCCAGCAGTGTTTTCCGAGCCACACAGCGCTTCAGAATCAAGCTGCTGCGTCTCTCATGTTTTCGACTGGCTGTGTGAACACACGCTCGATCTATATACAGCTCTGGAAAAAATTAAAAGACCACAGCATATTTTCCAGTTTCACTCCTTTCTCAAGTTATGGGTATACTGCTGTATAAAATATACTTCCTTTTTTTTTTCAAACTTCTTTGCTTCTCATTAATGAAGGGCTTCAGTGTAGCCTTCTGCCAGCCGAACCAGAATTAAACCAGAATTTAACAATGCAGATTCTTAAAAAATATGGAGCAGTCTCAATTTTTTTTTTCCTGAATTGTATATAAAACATGATATTCCGCATCTCCCGCCATTTCAATCCCACCGCTCAGCCATGCTATTTCCGGGTGTGTGTGTGTCCTGACCAGCCAATGTCACCAGTGGCCTAAGAGCACGGATGCCATTGCGAGCGAAGGTCACGAGAGTCACTTCTCCATTCAGGATCAGGCCCTGTATATTGCACTTCAGCCTGCAGGATAGCGACCCCATTCACAAACCAGTCAAACGCGGAGGTGAGAGACCAGCACTGACAGAGGCGTCGCAGGGAACCATCCTACATGTAAACATGATGCAATAGTCAAGAAACGTCTCTCCTCAAAAACTCATCAACAGGAACAAGGGTCTAAATTATTGCTGATTGATTTGTAGAGACATCTAGGGAGAACATATTAGGATTTACAGGCCCCAATATTCCATGCTGAGATTTGGACTTAAGAGTAATAAGTGCTGGATCTCAGCTGTACTCAGATACAGCAAGAGCTATTAGACACTTCCCCTCATGAACAGCGGTGTCCCTCTGCACAAGAGGGTAAGAAGAAAAACCTGTGCAGGATCAGAGACAGCTGGGAGAGGAAATATATCACTGACAGGGAGTCTAATGGCATAGCTCATTGGTTTGTGACAGAGAGACAAAATGGATCACACCTGGTTGGGGTGTAAAGGGTCCCGGCAAGAAAAGATTTGTCTGGTGGAACATTTTTTGGGCATTTGGCGCCCAACTGACAGTCTTTATACAAAAGTAATGCTCTGAGGAAGGTCTTTGGGTTGAAGTCCTCTTCATGGCATGTCTCACTAAGCTAGAAGCTGTGCTAAGACTTGGCAATGACATCATCATCCCTGGCCTGTGGCTTGATGTCACGCTGAACAATAAGACAACATGCAAAACGGATGTCATGTGTTTAACAACTGGGTAAAGGGGGCACCAAACCAAAAAAAAAAGTGTAAAATCCCTGTATATATTTCTTTTTGGCTCCTGAGAAGACATGACCAGTTGGTTATTCTGCATGGGGGGTCTGCATTATGTGGTTTTCCAGTGGAGCCACGACACCCTCAGATTCAGTGAGGCTGACACAGCCGTGTAGCCCAAGGATGTCACTGATGAGCCCAATACCCTGTTTTCATGGTTAATTACCCACTACAGCGGTGAAGTGTGGTCACCACACCCATGTAACGCTTTGTCTAAAGCTGCATTTTTCAGTCATTTCTTTTGGTGTAATGAAACATCCACCATTTTCAGTTCTTTGATTAATGAGCGGTGTAGTCCTGCGAGTTACCCCTGCCGAGGTATCGCCCCTTATGGCGTGGGGGCCGGCGGTGGGGGGGGGCGGGCACACGGCTCATATGCCCGGCCATCACTGCAGCTGGGAGACCTTCACCGGTGAGGTGCTGCTGAAGTCCAGGAAGAAAGGTCCTTCCTGTTTGGGCAGGAAGGTGGTAGGGATGACGTTGTAGATACCAGCGGGGACATGGTCCAGATCCAGGTAGCAGAAGCCACATCTGCATAATATGGAACAAGGGGGAGTGGTCAGAAAGGGGGAGTGGTCAGAAAGGGGGAGTGGTCAGAAAGGGGGAGTGGTCAGAAAGGGGGAGTGGTCAGAAAGTTATTATTAAGGGCACTTTTCTACTGCACCAAGTACTGTACTTTTGGTACTTTCCCTTTTCCATTGACTACCACTCAAGTACCAGTACCAGTACCAGTACCAGTACCAGTACCAGTACCAAAAGTGTCAAACCAGCTGGGGAACTTCTTTGGTACTTCTGTACTATGGGGTGGGACTTAAAGCACTATCTTTGTCGAATGGTTATGCAAATGGCCTGCTATTGAAACACAATACAACCGCTGTCCTGAAGACAGTTACGAACTTTGAAAACAAAGAAAAATGAAGTAGAAAGAAAAAATAATAATAAAAGCGATCTGGTCGGAAGAACAGATACAATAAAATGATCAGAATGACATGAAAAGAAATTTAAAAGGTATTTTATTATACTAGGGCAACACGCATATAACAAGCTGTCCTGGCTATATGATTTTGTTGTAATACATATTGGGATATCTATAAAACAAAAAAGGAGGAGTTCATAAATTTCTCACAAAATTTCCTGTTTAGGACTGATCTATCGATAGAGGCGTCCAAGTTTTTGCCTGAACATAAACATTTTGAAGTATATGGGTTTTATTGTGCTGACTGCGCCCTAGGCAGCTGCCTAGTTTTGCCTATTCCTGCATCCAGCCTTGGGCAATTCACCTCAGGAGTGAGACTGAAGATCAGCTTAGTAATCATTTCAATGCAAAGTCAATACTCTTAACCTCAAAATGGGCTGCGTTTAGCACATTTCAGCTGAAGAGAGTCGGATGATGCACTCGGCTAAAAGCAGAAATAATAAAATATTGATTTGACTGCCACTGCCAGTGTGGCCAGCTCATTAACCGCCTTGTTAACCACATTCAGTTGGATTTGATGGAGGGGATGTGGAATCTGGCCAGGCAGTCCAGAGGATGACTATGGGCCTGGAGGGTCAACCTTATGAAGGCGCTAACAGGATGCAGTGAGCGGGAGGCTGGGAGACACCCAGGCAGTCAGACTTGGGCTGCTAATCGGTACAAAGGATCAGAGCAAGACTTGAAAGGAAGAGAATAACATCATGAGTTCTGACAGACTGTACAGCCCAGTTTTAAATCACTCTAACTGACACTGACTACTCTGCTGAGGTCAGGAACTATGCATCGTAACTAATGGAGGTTAAAAAAAAATGTTACAAGAGGAAATGGTCATACATTTACTATGAAGGTCTATTTGGCATTGGGTAGAGTACTTTCGCAACTCTCAGTATGGGATCTAGGCTTATCTGAGTGAGAGCTGGTGGGCTGGAAAAGGCATACACACACCCCCCCCCCCCCCCATCAAAGACATTACCGATAATCGCCGCTGCCCCTCTTCTGGAATCCAGCTGCACCTGGGTCACCCACGGTTGACACGTTCACAACCTCGAACCCGACGCTGTACTGCCTGAGGATGGGACATCAGAGTCACCAGGTTGGCTGACACACACACACACACACACACACACACACACACACACACACACATACACACCCTAGTGGGGCTATACGTCTGTGAGCTCCAGTCCAATGACATAATTGTGGACCACATGATCCTGACGGCGATTTGCAAAATGGCGTTGGCAGGACCTTTGGGGTTGGCTGAACTGCTACTGCTTTTAAAGTCAGGTGCTTGACAAGTCTTCTGTAATTGGTACTTTAGCTTGACTACCAACTGAAAATAAGAGTCACAGCAGGGGTGCCAGAAAGGTGAGATGGTTCCACAAAATTTGGAACATAATTGGACTGGTCTGGATTGGGGGCCCAATACAGAATCTTTTCATGGGGTCCAAAATCTCTAGCAGGACCTGTGCTGGTCAGAAAACAGTAATGACCAGATGGCGAATAAGGGCTGATACAGAGACCAGGCTGACAACAAAGGAAATACCAGCAAGTGTGGGAGTCTGAGGGTTTTCCTCTGATCAGGAAGTACAGCTGAATACAACAGCAATAAGAGATTTTATAGTAAAACAGACTCAGGGGTAACTGCAGGCACAACACTGCAGATATTTCTAAGTTAGGGGTGGCTGCAGGGGGTGGTGAAAAACTATGAGGAGTGATGTCACCTTCAGGAGGGTGGCCCACTTAAATCTGCAAACAGGTGACGTCATAAAAGATCCAGACAAGTGACAATGTCTCCCTCTAGAGGACAGAAGGGGTAGTGCTACTCAAAAAAAATTATGAAGACCAAATCCCAGGAGAGGGTAGGATACAAAACTGACATTCTGCCACCTACTCATCTACTACAATGTTCCACTCGGAATGAGAAACACTATGCCGAGTAAAACAGTCCACTTCAAGTCTGAGTGTAAATATACTAGGCAAGCAGTTTACAAACGTTTAAAAGTTTGAATCAACATTCCCTTTTGCCAAGGTCAGCCATGTAGTCTGAGGTAAAGAATCCATCCATTAAATGATCTTTATGTTACATTATTTCACACTTGAGATTAGAAACATAAACCCAGAGCCTCTTTTTTTTTTATCCCCCCCCCACACAAAAAATAGCTCAGGGATAGGTGGAACACTACACCCCAATCTACATGTAGGTCACCACCGGCCATCTAGTGGCAGGAGGTGGTATGGCGCCGTGGCTCTGACCTGGAGCCCCTCAGCTCAATGAGCATGGGCCCAGACTTCTCCAGGCTGAACTGGTAGATGGGGTTGTGTTGGTAGGAGTCCTTGTAGTTCCCACAGCCACCTGCATTGATGCCTTTCCACTGACCGTTCACCTGCGCAGATGGGAAAGGTCTCAGAGAATGGCGGCTCCCTTCAGCGGCCAGGGTGAGTCGGCTCAGCCTGAGCACACTGCGGCCTTACCCTCTTGGACTGGGTGAAGGGGGTGGGGATCTTGGAGAAGCTGAATTTGCATCCAGAATACACCTGTTGACGGTAAACCTCAGTTTGATTCTGGCACGTGACAATCACAGAACAAACACGAGATGCGGTCAAGACCAAAAAAAGGAACCACAACTGAGGACACAAATCAAAAGTCATTTTATCTATCAAGGTGATATTTAGTGATGTTTTAAACTCCTTCCCTAGATGTACAGTAATTCATTTTGAGTTTTTATCTTCTTTAGAAAACAGTGCCTCAATTTAATGTGATTTTAATATATTCTATACACACCGATGAGGCAAAACATTATGACGACCTTCACATGAAGTAAATAATGTTGACTCTCGTAAAATTGCACCTTTTGGCAAAAATGCCGGTATTTCCAAACTTTGTCAGTCAACCATTCTTCAAATCCACTGTCCATTTTTGTTATCATTCGGATCATTGAGATTATAGCTTATATACAGTCTTTGGTGTGGCTTCTTTCCAAGCCTCCTGTTCCTTTTCCCCTGGCCCTCGAGGTTCTTTTGCGTCACTGACTGGAGCCTCTGTAAAACTAGGCTGGCAATATGAACAAATAACTCTATATACCCCTGTTTCAGGTGTTTAATATACAATCCAATTTTTTGTTAACAGAGCCTGAGAGTCCATTTTATCTTTTTTATTGGTTGTGTGGTTTTATTTATGCTTTGTTTTGGATATTTACATTTATTTATGCTCCAATTCCAATGTCTGAATATTCTTAAGAATAAAAAGTTCATTGCTCTTTGAAGGGTGTACTTGCATTATGTCATTATATTATATCAGTTGCATAAAATGATAACAGCGGCATTTATCGTAATTATTTCTGCGACAATATATCGTCCAACAGAAGCATTTATCGTGAAAGGCCTACCGCCCGACTCTGTGTTGGCAGATTGCGACTTCTCCCTCAAAGCCACATTCTCACCACGGCTGACCATGAGCACACAAGCCGTACCCTTTCAGAGATGCTCTCACCCAGTTGTCTGGCCATAACCATTTGGCCCTTATCAAAGTCACTCCGATCGGTGCCCCTGCCCATTTCTTGTACATTCAAATTCTATGAGCTTACCGTCTAATATATCGCAGACCTTGACACACACTGTTTTTCAAGATTCACACGAGAGAGGCCATATTGTTCTGGCTCACTGGTGTATGAAGCATTTTTAAGCACAAAAACAATGGTGCTTTCATCCCTCTCACAGACGCAGACACACCCACACAAAAGAGCTTCCATATTGTGTAAACATTCTTCCACAACAGACGAGACGACAGGAGGGCCTCTCACCATATGACACATCTTTTACTTTGCCCGCGGAAAATGTGTCAGAACTACAACAGCAGGTACGGAGCAGACGCCCCCCAACCACCCAGAACTGCTGGCATTTTATGGGTGACAAACTCCCCTCCCCCCCTGTCCAGAGAGACAGCAGTTCTACGCTAGAGGCAGACTATGCTAATTACTGCAGCAACAGCTCTACTCTCTGTAGCAGACACAGGTCCATCACACACAGCCTCTATCAGTAATGGACTCAACGAAAGCATGACCCCACACCTGAACAAAAAATGAATAAAAAACACATGCAAAGACTCACAAGTGCAGACATATTCAGGATGACACACCGTGCGTTGGTACATAATACAAAGACTCTTCTTAGAGGTCTCTGTATCAGCCCTTGTCTGTGCATTCTCTGCTTTAAATACATCACAGACTGAACGATAAAAGCAGAAGTGCACAGCGCAGGCTGCAGGTGGCGCTCTGGGGACTTGGCCTTACCCGCAGTGTGTAGTTGATAGTATTCTGCTTCTCGTACTGGGACACCACCAGCGTGAAGGTGTGCGTGCCTGCATTGGTGAGCTTTATCTTGGTCAGGTAGTGCGGGCTGTTGATTCGGATCCCGTCGATGAAGGGAGGGGGGTCCACTGAGGGGAGGATGAGAAAGGGGGAGAGAGAGAGAGAGAGAGAGAGAGAGAGAGACTAAGGGTGATGATACACAGGGCAACATTTTTAGCAGTGTTGCTGACCAATGTTGTCCGTGGACTTTCCCATTGATGTTGGGCAACAAATTTCTATCTGTAACACTTTAAATGAGCAGTGGGAAGCTTTTCGCAACCATCTAGATCCAGACGAGTTGCCCTTTCTCTCACCTGGTTGGCCATTGGCCGGAAATATTTCTCAAAAAGTTGTGCATCATCACATTTAGGGGGCATTTAAATGAAAGCAAGCAACCAACAGGATGTCGAACAGAACCAGTCACTGTGTTCATGCACAGTACTTACTGGGATAGTAAACTTTCCTTCCATCGGTTTTGTAGACGACTAAGGTGATAAACTCACGGTTTTGGGCAAAGTCATCCTTGAGAGGGAAACAAAAGCCAGTCAGTGCCTGAGGGCTGGTGGTCACTGAGTACTACTGTACCTTGTGTTTGTGTGTGTAAGTAGCTGTAATTAATACTAACACTCTTATCGCCATGGTTACAAGGTTCCCTGTCCTGTCTGGATAACATTTTGAATCTGTTCCTGTCTGGGATTGGCAGTGGTCAGTAATGTAATGTTATCTATGAATGTCATCCTGTTCCCAGTCAGACGTCACCTACACAGGTGATCAGTACTGTACTCTGTCAGTCAGAACTGTACCGGTCAGGTGTCACTCTTACCTTGTCAGTGATGTGTCTGGTGAGCAGCACCCAGACCGCAGCGCCCCCCTGTGGACAGATCACCTCCAGTTTGTACTGAGGATTATTGGCCAGGCTGTAGGCATCCTTCATCGGACCCTGTTTTGCATCCCAGCTGCTGTGGTGCACAAAAGGAGCAAGATAGATGTGTCAGAAAACACACACACACACACACACACACACACACACACA